TGTATGTATCATCCTGTATGTTTGTGTTGTAATGTTACCCCAGTGTTTATATGTATCATCCTGTATGTTGGTGTTGTAATGTTACCCCAGTGTTTATATGTATCATCCTGTATGTTTGTGTTGTAATGTTACCCCAGTGTTTGTATGTATCATCCTGTATGTTTGTGTTGTAATGTTACCCAAGTGTTTATATGTATCGTCCTGTATGTTTGTGTTGTAATGTTACCCCAATGTATTCATGTATTGTCCTGTATGTTTGTGTTGTAATGTTACCCCAGTGTTTATATGTATCATCCTGTATGTTTGTGTTGTAATGTTACCCCAGTGTTTATATGTATCATCCTGTATGTTGGTGTTGTAATGTTACCCCAGTGTTTGTATGTATCATCCTGTATGTTTGTGTTGTAATGTTACCCCAGTGTTTGTATGTATCATCCTGTATGTTTGTGTTGTAATGTTACCCCAGTGTTTATATGTATCATCCTGTATGTTTGTGTTGTAATGTTACCCCAGTGTTTATATGTATCATCCTGTATGTTTGTGTTGTAATGTTACCCCAGTGTTTGTATGTATCATCCTGTATGTTTGTGTTGTAATGTTACCCCAGTGTTTATATGTATCATCCTGTATGTTTGTGTTGTAATGTTACCCCAGTGTTTATATGTATCGTCCTGTATGTTTGTGTTGTAATGTTACCCCAGTGTTTATATGTATCATCCTGTATGTTTGTGTTGTAATGTTACCCCAGTGTTTATATGTATCATCCTGTATGTTTGTGTTGTAATGTTACCCCAGTGTTTATATGTATCATCCTGTATGTTTGTGTTGTAATGTTACCCCAGTGTTTGTATGTATCGTTCTGTATGTTTGTGTTGTAATGTTACCCCAGTGTTTATATGTATCATCCTGTATGTTTGTGTTGTAATGTTACCCCAGTGTTTATATGTATCGTCCTGTATGTTTGTGTTGTAATGTTACCCCAGTGTTTATATGTATGATTCTGTATGTTTGTGTTGTAATGTTACCCTAGTGTTTGTATGTATCGTCCTGTATGTTTGTGTTGTAATGTTACCCCAGTGTTTATATGTTATGATTCTGTATGTTTGTGTTGTAATGTTACCCCAGTGTTTGTATGTATCGTCCTGTATGTTTGTGTTGTAATGTTACCCCAGTTTTTGTATGTATCGTCCTGTATGTTTGTGTTGTAATGTTACCCCAGTGTTTGTATGTATCATCCTGTATGTTTGTGTTGTAATGTTACCCCAGTGTTTGTACAAACCAAACAAATGGTGGCTTCACTTATAATTCCAGTCGACCCAGTTTTAAATAGGTGCGGATAGTCCGGTAAAGATCAATGCCAAGGACCAGCTGGTAGAAAGGATCCTTTACTGTGAACCTAAGTTGTTATCCTTGTAACATATAGTTCTTTCTTTTTTTCTTACCTCTTGAACATCCTCCAGCCACATCAATAGCTGCTTGATCCCAAGGATTATTGTCAATACAGGAAAACACCTGAGCATTGGAGGAATCTAGAAATAAGTAATTGGTCTCACACGTCAAATTACACTGATAACCATTGGTTATATTGCTACAGGTTTTAGTGGTATGGGCTGCAACAGGAAACGATAGTGGTGAACAAGGTGCAGCTGTAATATAAAAAAAAAAAAAATTCAAAATTCAATCATCTATTATTTTATAAATTCATTAATTTTCACAATTTCACTCATTTACATATAAATAACTTAAAATACTTTCCTAATTCTAAACTGTATTTGAACAGCAAGACCAAACAGTGAAGGCTGGCTTGAACATCACACAACTTCACGACTATATTACTTACGCCCCTAATGGGAGGCAAAACTACTAGTTTGAAACACGGTAGAAAAAAAAATAGATTCAGACAATTGATGAGATGATGCGGCCACCAGTTCTCTCCCCTGTTTACAACTTATGAGGAGTGACAACTTGATAATGAAAGGTACAATAACAAATATTATAATTCTGTGTATTGCATCTTGGCGGCTTTTTTTGGTCAGGCATAAATTGATCTGGTTGTATCTCATGATGTTGACCTGTATAGTAGTGGCGGATGTCACATGCGAAGCAGACCATGATTACTCTTTTCAAACACCTGATGGTACTACTCTTTGGAGAAGTCCACAACTATACAACTTGTACTCTCGATTTTGCCATACTTTGGACGAGATTTTGATTAACAGAATTGTTTTGCTTGTTGTAGAGGTGTCGCACAAGAAGCAGACCTATTACTACTCTTTTTGAAACAACTGATGATCCTTATCTTTTGAGGAGTGCACTACTACACAATTTTTACTTTCGATTTTTACAGAATTATCTTGCTTGTATGGAATTTTATGAAAAAAACTCAACCCTTGACATGAGATTTACCTTTTAAAATGAAAAAACGGTAGCATAATGTAAGAATAATAGGCTGACCCAATTCACCAACTTACCAGAAGTGACCACTTGAAAGGTACAGGTGGCTTTGTTTCCAAATTTATCAGAAGCTTCTACATTTACAGGCTGGGCAATATTTAGATGGCCTACATCAGCTGTTACAGTTGGTGGGTTATAGGTAATTGTCACATCTCCACTGTCATCAGTAGCAATTGCAGGATTATTGGAAAAGTTATCTATCGTTGTGTCTGTTTCCATCTCGATTGAAATAGAATACGATTCTGGACAGGTTAATGTTGGTGGTACTGTGTCTGAAAATAGATTAAGTTTGAAAGTTTTATATCCTACTGTTCTGAATCTTA